GCCCGCTGCGTGCGGACCTCTCTCCCCCAGTTACAATGTTGAAGCCAAGCCCGTAACCCGTCTTCCGAGGCCCAATAAATTGCAAGTTCAACATTGTATTAGGGGAAGGGGGGCCATAGATATCATGTCACAGTGCTTTCCTTAGTGGACTGTGCCCTTTGTTTTTCTGCTCCGCACTTGCAATATTTAGGGCTTCAACCGTAGGTGCCCATTCTGATATGGGTGGCTCCCCAGCACGTCTTTCCCCGCTGCAACGCGAAGCAATATGAGCCTTTGGCGCTCGGGTATTTCCGGCCCAAACTTCAGCAGTGGACCCAAGAAGCTTCACCCAGAGCCCAGGAGGTCTCCTGCAAGGATCCATCCAAAAGTGCATCCACCCAAGGTTGCAGGCTGATGTCCATAGCCAGAAGGGAATCCACTTTCTTAGGTTCCATGCAAGCAAAAGCCGTTGGGCTTCTCAAGCCATGGTTCTCTTAGGTTCCATCATCTGAGATGTGCAATGCTTGATTCGACACGCGGCGTTTGTCTCATAAACTGGTTTCGGCTTGGTTTCAGGTTGGCTTCTGTTCAAACTGCCCGGGCAAAGTGGCAGATCAGCAACGGCCCATTTTCCCGTGGGCTCAAGAGAAGGCGAGCATATTTCTGGGAGGGTACCCTTTTTGTGTGGTGCTCAAGGACATTCTGCAACAACTCACTGCCCCCCAAGCCATTCCTCGCACTACCCACTTAAGACCATATTTTGAAACTCACTTCACCTTTTTTTGAGTCAGAGGTTGACATCACCCCCCCCCCCCCCGCTGCCCGCCAAAGGAAAAACAACAACGGGATATTTGGCACCCTAAGCAACTTTAGGGTATTCGGCACCCTGCGCAGCAGGGTTCGTTGTAGGTTCCCCAAGAGCCGGTTTTCAGCATTACCTGGGCCCATTTAAAGCTTTCTATCCTTCCTCGCAACAGAAGAGGAATTTCCTTAAGGGATCTATCAGGTGCCATGTTCGTGGGGGAGGAGGGGGCTGAGGGGAGTTTCCTGTAGGCTGGTGTTCACAGGGGAAACATACTGTGCGCAGATTCCTGCACCCACCACCCCCCTGCCAACCTATCGACTGGTGTTTTAGCGGCCTGGATTTTGTCCATCCAAAGTATCAGCTAAAACAACCGCCCACACCCCCAGTGCATTTTGGGGAAAGAAGGGCCACGGCCACTCTGTTTTCTGGTTGATTTTAGGAACCCTGCATCCACCATCAGCAGGTCTTCCCTTTTTAAGAGGCAGAGACAAACCGGGAAAACAAAACAAACACATCCACAGCAGGTGTTTTCCTTTCTAGAGACCGAACACCGGAGAACACAACTAATAATAGGACAAAAACAACAACGCAACAACTCTCCCTGAGACCATGGACAAGGAAAGAAAAATCCCCAGATCTCCCCGAAACCTTCTTGAGCACCTTTCGCGGGAAGCTCGCCTGGCCAAACCAATCCAACGAGACGAGCCTCGCCTCGGCTCCCAGGCCTGGCCCAGCTGAAGCGCCTCTTCGAGCTGGCGTGGAAGCACCCCTCCGCCAAGGCGCTTGCGTTTTTTTGGGGGGTCCGACTCCCTTCGACTGGTGTCAACCGGAGACTGAGACGCATAGGTGTCCTTTTTGGTTGGTTTGCTTAAAAAATAGTGGGCCCCGGTTTAGGGTTTATTCCATGTACCAGGGCCATCTACTTTTCCAAAAGGCCGCCTATGTGACGCTTCCCCCCGGGTTTGCGAGTGACCGAGAGAAGCGCCGAGAGATACCAGCCGCCAGGTGGCTCAGACCGCGGTGTCCTCTGCAGGGGAACCCAAGCGACGGGTCCAAGCGATGGGTCCAAGCCATGGGTTCAAGGAAATCGTCACATTTTTGTATTTTTTTTAAAAAAATTGGGGGTGGCTCGTGCTGTTTTTTCTTTTGAGTCGGTGCCTAAATTTGAGTCAGTGCTTGAGTTTGAGTCGGTGCCTAAGATGACTTGTGGGAAGCCAACAGTTTGAAAGGACTAGGACAACAGAATACCTTTTTTTTTTCTTTTTCTTTTTTTCTTTTCTTCGGGTGCCCCTTGTTTGAGAGGCACCCATGGCATTTGGTGTTGGTTGCTTTTCTTTCCGTCGGGGTTTTCCATCATTAACCAACCACCTTGCTGCGTGTTGTAGCAGCCCCTGTTTGGACCATGTTGATGATTGATTGTGTGACGCTAAATGTCCTGCCGAAATGGTTTTGTATGTGAACTTCATTGCTGAAACTGGCTTACGGGAGTTTCTCAAACGGAGTTCGGACCCCTTTTGGTTGGTGAAAGGGACACCAGAAGGAAACCAATGAATCAACTATAAGAGGATGATTTCGGATGGGGTTGTACGCAAGAATGAATGAGTTATATGATATGTATATATTATTGTAAATTTGTTTGTTTAGAGGAGGCATACAATGTCAGTGCAACCAAACGTAGGCGGCCAAGTAGAGTTTGCGTGTGTGTTCTTTGAGTTGGTGCCCTTTGGAGCTTGGTTTGAATGGAATTCAAACGGAAACACCACCATTTCTTTGGGTCTCCCTATTCTGCCACAACCAATGGGTAATGGTATTTGTTTTAGAAGAAACTGATGGTGATGCTGACGGTGATGGTGATGGGTGGTGATGATGCGATGGTCATGATGGATGGTGATGGTGATCGGTGACGGTGACGGTGACGTGACGTTCACAGTGATGGTGACGATGACGATGACGATGCCGATTACGATGAAGATGAAGATCAAGATGATGAAGAAGTCGATGATGATGGTGTTGGTGAAGTCGATGATGATGATGATGATGATGATGATGATGATGATGATGATGATGATGATGATGGCACTGTGTTGCTTGTAAGTGAGGGGGATTCTCAGGAATTTGAGAGACCCTTTCGGGAATAACCTGATATTATTCCAAGGCCTGAAACTGTCGCGCCAACATGTCAGAAGTTGAATCAAGGCGATGAATTGGGTGCTTCGCAGATTGGAGATCCTTTTTTTTTTCTTCGATGCTTCTGAATGCGGCGATGGTGGACCCTGGAAAACACCCTGGATCAGTTGTTCAGCTTGCAATGTTGATGCTTGGAGTTATTGGGATGCGCGGTCCACTTCGAGCTCTGGTGCAGACCCTCGGGGAAGAATCACATTGCCGAAGGCAGCCCTTCGATGCGAACATGGGGCCTTTCTCCATGGGCGCCTGCTTTCCTGGGGGTCCCAAGCACTTCACCCGTGTGTTCCGTAGGCCTCACGGGCCACAAATCCTTAGCCGTTTTCGGTCCATGGCCTCGGGCTCAACTTGGAGGCGCAGAATCTGCTCCAGAACCCAGCCTGCTCGGACCTGTGCGCTGTGATCGTGCCTGGGCCCCCGGCGTTGGTTTGGCGTTTTGATTGGGCAGAGCGACATGAAAAGGACCCTGGGTGCTGGTATATGGTACATTGTACATCTTGCTGATCCGAAAAGCCATGTGGGGAAGGCGCGTCAGCAAAGTTCATGCCGTCATGATCATTCGGAGTTCGTGGTATTCGTAAAGCAAACACACACACCCACACCCACACCCACACCCACACCCACACCCGCACGCGCACGCACACGCGCACGCGCACGCGCACGCGTGCGCACGCACGCACGCACCCACCCACCCACCCACACACACACACACACACACACATCGCTCAGCAACTGATAAAGTTATTGGTCGTCTACGTGCGCAAATCCCCCATATATGAGTTATGAAGTCCAGAGTCATACCGATACCTTTAGGAGACTCGGAATCCCTGCTAACCTACGTAATGTTGACGGCATCTTAATCAACTTTGAAATTCTTAATAGGGGGGTGCTACTTTTGGAACACCCCCCACCTCCCGAACCTCATAAGCAGGGGTTGATTAATATGGTCAACATCGGCCAAGTTTGGGTTCGGTTCAGCCAGCTGTCGTCCATTGGGCACGTATTGCCTGCTTCCAGGGCTCTTGCGCTTATGGCTGAGGAAAGGTTCGGCTTCTTGTTTTTTTTTCAAGGGCGTAGACGTGGTAAAATTTTCAGAACCACACATAGACACACAATGTCAGCTCGTGATACTACGAGCAGTCCAAATCTTAATATCAACAACTATCACAATAATAACGACCCACAATGTTAATAGCACTAGTCCCTTCTCCCAAACAATACCCCCCAATTCCCCTGAGCAGCAATTTTATTCTTCGGGGTTCCCTGTTCGATTGTGGTGTTTTTTTACCTCTGAGGTCCGGTCCTAGGTCCGGGCAGAGGGTCTCACACGACTGGAGGAGATGTTTTGTGGAGGAAATCGCTCGCTAGATATTGTTTTAGAAGTGGCCGAAACTGATTTAGTACGGGGGCCGCTAGGATGTCGATACCAGACTATTTGGGGGATCTATATAGTGGGGGGTGTTCAGAGCGCGATCCCTTCTAATACCAACGATGTCATGAATAGTGGTTTTTGCAAATTGGACAATTTATAGATGGTGCCATGACCACAGGTTCGGAAGCATGCATCCACAATGTGCAATGACGTTGACAGTGCAACAGGGGCCTCTCTCTGGAATGCACAAAGGCATGCTAATCTCCAAACAACTATTTTTCCAATGATCGAGAGCGCTACGCGCATGCTTCCTGGCCAAAGCAAGTCCTCTGAAGAGCACATAGACGACGAAGGATATTCCCTTTCCCCCCCAAGCCACCCCACCCGAACAGCTAATATTCTGCACATCGCTTTTTTTACCGTCCAAAAGGAAAACCGCCATTTAACAGAAGGCCACACCCGTAGTGGAGCAGGTTTCTTTCTGTTTGTTTGTGGAGAACACGGCCCCCCCCCCTCCAACCCCTGATTAGGAACCTCCTGGTTAATGAATTTCATAAGGCGATCTGTCGATGTCCAAGCATCCCGCTCGCGCAAGTGACAAGACAACATGGTGACCCCCCCCCCAAAAAAAAAAACACCCTGCATTTCAAAGATACAAGCACATTAAAACAAATGCAATAATGAGACAGCGCCGCAAGATGAAAAGGCTTGTGCTCGCAAGTGAGTAGACACATTTTGTGACCCGCTCGCACAACATTGCGTTTCGCAGCTCGAACTCTACCGGTATTGTATGGAAACGAGTCAACATATGTCATGCGCTCGCAGGCGAGAAGACAAAATTGTGACCCCTCTCGCAAAAAAACACAACGTTCCCTGCACTCGAAAGTGAGTAGAAAATGGCCTGCAGCAGTGAGATCGAAGCAGCGGCGCAAGTGAGTTTGTAGCAGCCCAGAAGGCCCCCGTCAAGTGCGCAGAAGGCCATGTCACGCACAGCCCATGCTTCATCAGCCGGGGCGCGTCCTACTCCAGTTTGGTGCTCCACGCAAAAACTTGCCATCCAACTCTATCGATACTCATTTGACCGATCGGCGCTGAGCTCGCGAGTTGCACGTAGCTGGGTACAGCTGGCTGGGCCGGCGAATTCACATGTGTCCTTCCACGCCCCGCCACGCCCGCCCACATTTGTGGTCCTTCTTGCGCCTTCTTGCGTGCCTAGACGCATTCGTGCACTCATCGGCCTGCCCAGCGCTCACTACCGCGCTCGTGTGCATGAGCGCGCGCGCACACGATCGCGCTTGCACCAGTGCGTGCGCCTATGTGCAAGCCCGCTCGCGCGTGATTGCGCGAGCTACATGCAGCTGCGTGTGATATCTCGCGCGCCGCTGCGCGCGAAGAGACAATCACTGGCTAGCGTGTGGGCGCCCGCGGTTGCCGCGAGCAAATCGTGTGAAGCTTGTGACCAATTACTAAGTGGAGCGGCTCAATCTCAAGGTTTAGTGTTGTAGTCCTGCCTTGTGTTCCCAAACGAATATGTTACTCCGCGTGAGCGACCGGTGGGCCGCGGAGTTGGCATGGACAGTTGCCACTGTGCAAGCTGCGCGCCTCTGAAACTGACCTTGTGCCGGCCCGGGTGGCGGGCCTGACTAGCTCGTGGGGCTGTTGGGAGGCGCGCGCTTGGATTGATCGCGGGGCCGGCCTCGCACTTGCGTTGAGCAGAACCCCGGGTTTGTCGTTCGGAGGGGGATGTTTGTTGGAATTGGCCGAGCCCTCAGCCGTCCCACATACATATATATATATATATACACGTATATCCACACATGCGTATTTCAATCATACGTGCATAGATCGTCAATGCCTTGTTTTTCGCAGAAGTCCACATGGGTGTGTTACCGTCCCACAGGAAATCCGCCGGAAATCCGCCGATCAGGCCCGGGCTGGTGAGGGCCATCGCGGAGCCCATGCAGCCCATGGAGCAAGCTTGGGGCCGGGGACCTCGAGTTCCTTGCGGGCTTTTGAGGCTTGCAATAAACTTGGGGGGGTGTTTCTTGTGGTTGGTACATGGTTGGTATTTGCAGGAAAACCACAAGGCCTTGCACTATTTAGGGTTTTCAAGTTGGTGTCCCCCCCCCCCCCGGCAAACAGTAGCAATGTTTAAGGTTTCCAAGTGGTTTGATGGGTTTGGCTCTACCTTCCTGGCATTCTTCACGTGGATCTCGCAATGGGGCCCGCAGCCTGCGAAAGGAGGTTGTTTGTAGACATGATGACGGCTGTTTGGAGTCCATGTTAATCTGCAGGGGAGCACATGAAGGAACTGCTCAAAATGGGTCACCTTCCTGCAAATTTCAAACTCCATTCCAGCTGCCAGAGAAAGATAACATGAGGACGCAGTAACCGCCCCCTTTGGCAATAGTCATGGAGGATGAGGCCGCGCAACATTTTCCGATGTTGATTTTGCACAACCCCCAGTGCACTCAGCTGTAAGCTATGAACCTGCACGGGGCGTCACGTGTTTGTTTGTTTGTTTCCAAGGTTTCGACGGCCATATCAGTGACAGGAAGCATGGCGTGTCTTTGTTGCCATTCTGAGGAGTGATCCCCACTTTGCTGGTCGCCCAGCGCCAGGCTGGGAGAAGCAACAAAAATGCCTTCGGTTGCTTCCAAAGTCCCCCCCAGTGTCAACCCCGCAAGGGCGTCGCGGTTTTTCCCAATATCATCAAGCTTGGTGGCTCCCAGCCATCCCCTTAGCCTTTTTGCCTTTTAGTGTTTAGTGGTAGTTTCTATTTAACCCACTAAAAATTAAACTTTTAGCGGGGGACCGCGGTGGGGAGCGCTCCAGAGCCCCCGCCGAGCTCCGCACACGCCTGCCAAATGGTGAGCTCACCCGCAAATGGTTGCACCCGCTCTGCCGCTGTTACGCTGTTTGCTTTGCGGAAGTTGTTGATAGACGACCCAAGTTTCTATTGTTTTTTCCTCTGACGAACAAAGGAGCCACAATCAAACCCGGGTAGATGAAGGTTAGTAAGGGGCAGTCCCAGCCAGAAGCTGCCTTCTTAAAGCTTTACATGGTTCTGATTAGACCGTTTTAATACCGGGTTTTGATTGGAGGTACTTTTTTTGGCGAGCAATAGCTTCTGCTTAGGAGTGGCTCAGGTGGATGGCTGGTTCGCTGGTTGGCTGGTTGGCTGGTTGGCTGGTTGGCTGGTTGTCTGGTTGGGTGGTTGGCTGGTTGGCTGGTTGGCTGGTTGGCTGGTTGGGTTGGTTGGGTTGGTTGGGTTAGGTGGTTGGTTGGTTGGTTGGTTGGGTGGGTGGGTGGTTGGTTGGTTGGTTGGGTGGATGGTTGTCAATCAAAGCCCTAACCAACCTGAGGGGTATCAAACACTCGCAGACCTAAAAGGGGATACCTGGCAGGTTTTTCGGCACAGCTCGCAAGCGACGAGGAACGATTATTGCAGGGCGTCCTTTGTTCATGCTCGGTACCCTTTTCAGGGTTGGTTCAGAAAGAAACTACACTCTTTTGAGTTCCCAAATCTAAAGGCGAACCCCTATGAATCTACTAAGTTCACGAGGAGTCCCTGGGCAGGCGATTTTTTTGGCCACAGATTGCAGGCTTTGTGAACCCAATCCTCGTTTGGTGCACCTTCCTCTTTGGTTTTTGAAGGGTTTTTGGGACGTTCTGAACGGCTGAGTTCAACTGATTCCTGACTGAGCTTGCTCAGGCGGGTGAAAGCGAGATGGTGAAGGGCACTCTGCAGATGCTGCTGCAACTGGCGCCCCGGACAAAGACAAACTGAGAGTCCCCAGACTGGGTCCAGTTGGGCTATGGGGTGTGGGCAGCTTTTTTGGCCGGAGAAGCTTCCTTGGCGGGCCATTGAACTAATCATTGAACGTGAGTTCCCCTTGGTAGAGGCGATGTTGTGAGAGGAAATATGGGGACCTTCCACTGCGTTCTCACCAGTCCTCCCTGGGTGGGTGAAATTCGGTGTTTTCCCTTGCGTTGCCAGACTCGCGTGTCTCTTTAACGTTTTTGTACCTTGATCTTGTCCGCATTCCAACCGGCAAACAAGTCTAGAACTTTTTGCTCTGGCCCAGTGTAAATACATAAAACCAATTATATATATATATATATATGGTAGGACCCCCCCCCCCCAATATGTATGTAAAATAATCTATCGTCCCCCCCCCCAAAAAAAAACAACAACAACAACAACACCACAACAACAACAAACAAGCAACAAACGAACACACAAGCAGGACACAAGCAAAACAAAGCAACCAACAAGACAACAAACAACAAACCCACCTCCAGCGGGATTTCACGGCGTTTGCGCCGCCAAACAGGGCGCACACCGCCCCGCGCGGTTTTTTTGGGTCGGCGAGGTGAGCGCCGTGGTGGCGGACGCCCGGCAGCCGGAGGCGGCGGGCGCCATGGCGCCCGGGCGCTCAGCGCGCGTTGCCAACGCGGGTGTCGCTGAAAGGCGGCGGTGGGTGGCCTTCACGTTGACTTTGTAATTTCAGGGTGGGGTGGGGGGGGGGGAACCCCAACTAAGCCCTCAAAAAAGGATCATTCTTTTTTGGGATGAAGAACTGCTGATTCATCACTTTTGGAGGGAATCCACCATGATCATCGACGACTCCTGGGTGTCCCGATCTGAAGGCAATCTGCAAGATCCTTACCTTGCATTTACGCAAGGATTTGGTCCCCTTTGTAGTGGCTGGATTACGGATTAGGATTGGCCAAGCCTCCATTTTGAACAGCTCGGCTTCCAGGCAAGCCACTAGCACAAGCAAGGAAAAGCTCCATTCCCGTGGTTACGTACTATGGTAGCCGGAAGCCAAATATTGACGGATCGAAGTAGAACCCATCCTATTAACACCCACAGCTGTGGAATGTTGCCGGCACCCCCTAATCCCTAGGGTAAAGGTTTCGGGTTTAGATTTGGGGCTTGGGTTTAGGGTTGAGGTTTAGGGTGTACGTAGGTTCAGGGTTTAGGTTTAGGGTTCAGGTTCAGGGTTCAGGTGAAGAGTGCAGGTTTAGGGTTTAGGTTTAGGGTTCAGGTTTAGGGTTCAGGTTTAGAGTGCAGGTTTAGGGTTTAGGTTTAGGGTTGAGGTTTAGGGTCCAAGAAAAAATCTTCGCTTTTCTAAAACAGCGAATCACTTTGCTCTTGTAGGGGGAGCTCGCCCTGGTCTTTGAACTCGAGGTTGTCATTTTTACAGCGAGGCGGGCCGCTGGGAGAGGATGGCGCGCGAGCAGGCGTTTGCCTTCTCTGTGTTTTGCGGAGGACGCTCTCCTCTCCCAGGACCAGGACCATCACCCTCCAACGCTGCCAAGACTGCCGCCTTTCGCGGGAGCTAGGCTGCCCCATTTACGTCTACGACTGGGGCGCCCGGCAGAAAAAGCCGGTCCGCTTGCGCAGGGCCGCGGCGGGTGTCTTGGCGGCCTTAGCTCTCAGCGGCACGGGGCGCGCGCTTGGGCGACTCGGGGAAACGGTGTTTTTTTCTTGACGCGCTTTGGGGCCCCAACGATTCTGGCTCTCGCGCTTTGAGGCGCAGACTTTCCCGCGACCTTGGAGGCGGTGGCGGAAAAGGACGGCCACATGTACTACGCCGACGCCTGCGCAGACCGGCAGAAGGGGGCGCTCGGGCGGATGCTTTCGGGCGGCGCTTGCCCGAACATCCAGGACGCCCACGCCCGCGTGCCCCTGCTCGTCACACCCTCGGAGACGGCGCCGCTCCCGCCGGGGATCTCCGTGGTCGTCGTGCCGGACGACGAGAACAGCAGGAAGAAGAAGGCGGGCTGCGCTCGGCTCGGGAGCGCGTTGGTTGGGGACGTTTCGCGCCCGCCCTTCTTCAAAAAAAAAGCGGCGCGTTCGAACACTAGAGGCAAATGCGTCGTTAAGGTATTGACGCGGGCCCACTGCCGTCGCGAGCGTTGTTTCGCGAGCCGTGGCCAGGTGACTGATGGCCAGGCCGAGGCGGGGCCGCCGGTCTTCGAGGCTCTGCGCCTGCGGCGCGGCGGCCGCTTCTGCGCCGCGCAGTTCCGTGCGGTGCTGCCGGCGCAAGACCGCGGCGCTGTCCTGGCCAAGGGCATGCTGGAAGTCAACGCCCGCCTCGGCCCAGTCATCCTTCTGCGGCAAAGCAACGTCAAGGTTTGGCTTGGCACGCCAGAAGGACCGGGCAGGGGCGAGGAAGGCTTCTTGGAGGGCGGGGCTGTCGTTGCTCCTTGGGCACGCGCCGCGCGCCAGGCCTTGAACACGGCGTTGACGTTGTGCAGGCCAGCGAGCGCGCCTACAAGGACAGCGGGGCCGCGGTTAGACTTGGCTTGCTCTCCGCTTCGGCTCTGAGCTTTCTTTGTCCGCGTCCTCGGCCGGGATTTCGAACAGCGCCCTGCCAAGGAGCCGCGGCTTGGCTGCCAACTGGCCGCCGCCCTCCTTGCCCGGGCCAACCTGCAGCCGACCGCCGCGGGCAGAGCAGAATCGCTGGCGGCGTTCAACATGCTGCTCGCGTCTGGCCGACGCCGCCGGGGCGAGCGGTTGGTCCGGGAGGCCTGGGCCCTGGGCGAAGAGGACGCGTGGAGCCGCAAGCGGACGCCCGTTGCGGGCATCGACTTGCGGTTCCAGGTCATTCAGGATGAGCCTGTTGCCGTCGTAGGCAACGCTCAGGCTGTTCGTGGTTTCGCTGTAGGTGCGGTGGCAAAGTTGGAGCTGATCCAGGCGGCCAGCCGGGGGCCCGTGTACGCGCCCTCGGGCAACAACGCCCAGTTCAGCGTGCCCAGCGCGGCGTCAACCCAGTAGAGGTAGCGGCCCCGGTCCGTCGAGAGGAAACTGTCGGCCAGGCGAATCTTGACGAGGGGGACATCCCCGACCCCACGCCTGTGGCTGAGCTGACCCAGGTGGAGCAGGAGCGAGGGCGCCTTGTTCGCGTCTCGCGCAAGTTGGGTTTGATTTTTCTTTCGCGGCTTTGGCTTGAGCCAAGCGTCTGGCTCAGGAGCCGCGGCCGTGGACGCTCTCCCACGGCACCCGGCACGCTCTGAAAGCCGGCGGCCAACGCTTGAAGTCCAAGCAGGAGGCCAGGGGTGAGGTCAGAAGAACTTTTCCGCTCGCGTGCGCGGACAGAGCGCCCGGCCCGCCAGGCCTTCCTCGAGAAGCCGGAGCTCCCGCTAGACGGAGAAACCTTCTCCGGCCTCGCTGTGGGCGACAGGTCCGGGGAGCTGGAGTCCGGGCAGTGCTACGTCTTCAAGGGCCAGGACCGGGTTGGGCGGCTGTGTTTGCCGAGGGAAACTCGGCCTCCGACGCAGGAATTCTTGACGCCGTCCTCTTGCCCTCCGACATCGGCCTGTGGGAGGCAAAGGAGCCGCCGCCCGGCATGCGGCGACCGGGCGGGGACGGCGGCGGGCACCCAAACACGATCGTCGTGAACAAGGAGGAGGACCCCGTCTTGGTTTGTAGGTCGCCCCGCGTGCTGCGCGGCTTGCGCGCGAGCCCGACAGGACACGATCGTCGAGCGGTCCGGCGGCGACCTCGACGGCGACGGGCTCCAGCTCTCCAACGACCCGGACTTGGTTGCCTTCGCCCGGAACACGCCAGGCGGCGAGGAGCGCTTAGGGGATTTCCTTCAAAGTTCAAAGCCTCCGCCTGTCCTTGCCCCAGGAGCGCATCAGCCCGTCGCTGGCGAGGGTGGAGGCTTGCTTGGAGAAGAGATCCACGTCCTTCGAAGGCGCGCACCGTGCCTTGCAATTGACAGCGCCCCGCGTAGCCGGGGGTCCGCGAAGGACTGGAGGCGTACCTTAAGTACCTTGGCGACGTGCCGTGAAGGCTATGGTCACGGTCATGGCCGAGCGGGCCTTGGGCGCAGCTTGCTCGTGCGACTCGGCAGCAAAGAGCAAAGCGCTTCTCTGCGCAATGACTTTATTGAACTTCGTTGTCTTGCGGCCAGGCAAGTTTGACTCGGTCCGCCTGGGCCTCATGGACCTTGCCTTCGACATGGGGCACTTCGCCCACGCCGCCACCGACGCGCCAAAGAAATGGGACGCGCAGGAGGCAGGGTCGGGGATCGCGGCCCTGCCGTGCAACCTGTGGGGCTTTGTGAGTTTGCGCGCCGACAGCAGCGACATGACGTTGCGTAGATATCCAACAGCTACCACTTGTTGGGGCCACCCTTAAGAAATGCTTGCCGTTCCTTGCCGGAGGTGACGAACGCCGCCGCTAAGGCCCTTAAAGACGGCGGGGTCAAGGCGGCGAATCCGCGAGTCACCGCGCGGGTGGCGGCGCTCATGAAGCTGGACGTTGTGACGGTGAACGCCGCGCGGCCCTGGCGGCTTGGCGGCCTTGATTGGGGGGGGAGGGGAGAAGGGGAAAGGGCCAGGCGGCTGCGTTGTGTTTTCTGTCGAATCGCCTGAAAGTTCTCAGGAAGGGCCACGTGGAGGAAAGCGGCTTCCGGCCGGTGATCTGGCTGCCCCGGCAGGCGTGGTTTGTGGAGCTCGCCTGTTTTGTTCGCTCCGCCCGCTCCGGCGCTGCGCAGGAAATCAAGCTGAGCCGTGAAGCGGGCCAGCTTGCCCGGCGGCTCCTCTTCCAGCCGGCCGAGGGCGTGTTTGAAGCGGAAATGCCCAGGACGTCAGCCGACCTGTAGTCGCCCGCGCCCCAACCCAAATGCCGCGTGGCCGCAGGATGCCGCTCGAAGAGATCACGCGCTTCCTGCAGCACCAGCTCGGCATTTCCCGGAAGGACTGGCCGCCGCTGTTTGCGCCGCGTTTTCGCCTTGGCCGCCCGGGCGCGCAGGCCCGCGGCGCTGAGCGAGCTATCCGAACGCTCGCGCTCGGGCATCTCCCGAAAACTCGGAGCCTGTCGGCGGTTTTAGGGTCGAATCTCGTCTGAGTCAAGCGCCCGTGCCTGCGGCGGCAAAAAGCGCAAGCTGTTGCTCTTTGGGCTTGAAGATGTTTGCCGCGAGATGCGGCTGTTCCGATCTCCTCCGCCGCCTCTTGCGCTGTCAGGTCAAGAGACCCCCCGTCTGGCGCTCAGATTGTTTCTGAGAGATCGGGAGGCCGTGGCAGCTTGATTTGTTTCTTGCTTCGCCACTTCGAGGTTCGATGTCGTGAGCAAGTCGTGGCCCAGGGCGCGCCAGGCGCCCAGCTTGACTCGAAGGGCTTGTGGCCAACAGCTCCTCCCCCCGCCTCCCCCCCCGCCAAGCCTTCGAGATCGTGCTGTTTGAAGTTGGAGAGGCGCGGTCGGAGTCGGGCGCGGCCCAAGGGTTTCCAATAGCTCGCGCGCTGGCAGGCGTCCGCTGGGGGCGCGGCGGGGAAAGCCTTGAGGCGCGGGAGGGAGACGGGCCGTAGCCCAAAGGTTTCCGATCGTTCGCGCGCTCGCAGGCGTCGGCTGCGCTGCGGGATGCGCCGCGCGCGGCGGGCTGCGGCTTGCGCGCGGGCTTTCCAGTAGAGGCCGGGCTACGCGCGGTTCGGCGCGATCTTCTTTCCATTTTTGTCTTCTTCTTCTCTCTGCGTCGCCGGGCTTAAATTTCCGGGGTTTTGTGTTTCGAGTTCGGGGGTTCGCGGTTTCGGCTTGACTGTTTGCGCCTTCGCGGTTTTTGGGCAGTTTGGCGTTCGCGGGGCTTTAAGGTTTTTGAGTTTTAGGGCTCGCGGCTTAAGGAGGTCAAGGAGGCGGTAGAACGCCAACGCTCGCCTGGCGAGGCGGTAGAACACGCGCGCGACGCGGTAGAACACGCAAACGTCGACGCGCGCGCGCGCGCCTGACGAGGCGGCAAAGCACGCGAACGACGCGCGCGCCCCCCGCAGCAATGCTCCTAAAGCGCCGAGCCCTTCGCCGCAAAACGCAAAACCCCAAAATCCTAAAAACCCCAAACCCTAAAGCCGAACCCCAAACCTTAAACACGAAAGCCCCGAACGCCGGCCGCCGAATCCCAAAACCTGAAGCCCCAAACCTCAAAGCCCGCGCCCCCGAAGCAACCGTTTCAAAAATTTGCTGTGTGGGCGGACATTGGCGCAAGCCACTAAAAGTTTAGGTTTAGGGTAGAGGGTTTAGGTTTAGGTTTAGGGTTTATGTTTAGGGTTTAGGTTTGGGGTCTGGGTTTAGGTCTGTCGCAGTTGCGCGGCTCGGTTTGCAAAGTGGAACTGCGTGACCAAAGGAAAGACGCATGTCTTGGAGGTATTCGCTGGTAGAGCTCACCTGAGCCAATGCTGCGCTCCCACAGGTTTAAAGGTCGGCGTGCCGATCGATGTTCGAGTTGTTTTTTTTGACATCGTGACGCCCAAAGGATCTCAGATGGTCTTGGACATTATTCGTTTTCGACATGTTGCAGAAAAGAGTAGCCTCGATCGCAAGATGCCAATTGAACCGAAGACTCTATTGCGCAATTCAAAATCCTAACCTCCAAGATATGGACTCTTCAGTCCAACATGGATCTGATGCAACAACTCTCAAGACAGCCTTCCTAAGGAAGTCATGGCACGTTTCGCCAGTGCACAGTCAGTATGTCAGCGGGTGCTGTTGCATGAGGGTGCCTTTGTATTACTGCAGCGTGTTGCCGGAAATGTCGGGAAAACACTGTTTTTCTTGGTATTCAGCGTTCTGCCCGACACTTACATTCTTAGAGCTTTCTTGCTTAACATTTAAAATGTTTGTTCGACATCTGAGACCAGTCGCCTTCCCGTTGGATAGTCAGGACGTTTTTTGGGGAGCCTTTTCTGTTTCGGAGCAGCGCGCTGTGGTAAAAGTGAGGGGGGCAACAAGCTCTTTGTTCACGCAGAGGACTTGTTCCTGGGCAACAAGCTCTTTGTTAACACAGAGGACTTGTTCCTGACTCATGACATGGAACTGCGAGTCACCTCTTTAGCTCCGTGTACGACTGTAAGTTTAAGGGAACTGCTATTTGGACATCAAGCGCAGTTTCGCAGTCTTTTCATCCTGGCCGGCATCCTTGACCTGGAGCCGGTCATGAGCGGTATCTCGATGCAGCCGCAGGACGCGTGTCTGTTTTCGGTCGTGTGTTTTTTGGTGAGGGGCGGGCAGGAGGAGCAGCTCAATGGCAAACTGCAGTGGACAGCAACATCTGCAGGATCCAAACAACAACAGTACAGGCAGGAGGGTGGAGACGACCGAACGAATGTGTCTGTAGTCATTTTGCAGCAGTGTCCTTATCTTCACATTGGTGGGCCATGGCGGAAGATCGCTGCAGCAGTGGATTAGCAGGTAGGTGCATTTTCCCTTTGCTACGGCTAGGGAGCCAGCGCCGCCCCAGTTTGCCAGCGTTGGCGCTGATTCTTGGTCCTGTTCTGAGGAAGCTCGCGCAGCTGTGCACAGCTTCCGCGTAGTGTGATAGAGTAGGCGTGTCAGATAAGAACACGCTTTTGCAATATCAGAAAAAGACTCTGTGAGAATATAAATGCTTATGTCGAGTCAAAACGCATCAATGTCGAGCAAAAATTCTTAACGTCCGAAAAGATTGTACCGGGGTCTTTTTAATGGCCAAACATAAGGTGTGAGATTACAGAAAACTGCTTGACTTCGAGAAATCTGCGTAGAGATGTCGGAAAAATGTGCCGGGGTTTTTAATGGCCAAAAGGAAGGCTTTAATATCAAAAGAAAAGGTACCCCCTAGCGGCTGCCATTTGGGGTTGGAGCCTGACGAGTTCGATGCCCACGAAGTCTTCAATTCTTTTTCGTTATACCCGCCTTTCAAAAGGGGCGCAAAAGCAGAACTTCGACATGTGGTATCTTTTGCCAAGGAATGCAGGATACAAACACAAGATGAGGACAACCAGTAGATGTGCTGCAAGAGGGTCGACAAACTCTCTCCAACAGGGATCACTAGAAGAAGATGGGTATTTTGATGCCCTAGGACATATTGCGGGGAGGTAGGTTACTATATCACATCCCGGCTTGAACATAAACATACGTGGCTCACGGCTTTCATGCAACCTTGCAGGACGCATTTTGGTGGGCTCGAAAGTCGATGACAATCCACGTGGGCCTCCAAACCGGCGTGTCTCAAAATTAGGGGGACTTGGTTCCTTACCAACCCAAAAAAGGGTACCCTCAAAACATCCAAATGTTGGTGCGAAGTTCTTGGTGTTTTGCGAACTGTGCGGCGCTTTGCGGTTCCACCTTTTGCCTCCGAACAAGCCGTGTCATTTTTCCTCGTTTTCCCCAACGCGAACCGCCTTTCACTTTCCAGGGCAAAGAAAAGACCCCCAAGTTCCTCCACAGCGCCTGAGGCGTTGCCTGATGCAGGCAGGGATGGGGAATGATAAGAATTCGGAATCTAGGGGCCTGAGCTGGAAAAATTGAGGCCCTTGAATCATCGTGTCCCGCAGAGCGGCATTGGTTTGCATTCTTTAGCTCTAGCGCGGCAACTTGCGAACTGAGCTTCGCAGCCAAACCTCAGGGTCCACTTAGGTGGTTCAAAACGGATCACCAGTTCGTTGCCTTTTGTTAAGCTCGAGTTTCCATGGGTCTGACCAAGAAAAGGTTGCAAGATGCCAGGTGCCCTGAAGGTCGTTTCGGGGGAAACCTACCCATGACCTTATCCTTCCCATCCTAAATCAACAAACCCCCCATCAACACACCCCCAAGCCCATCAAAGACTTCTCCCATTTCTCGGCACCCTTGTGCCTCGTGCTTGCGGGGTGGATCGATAAGACTTGAAGCCTCTTCTGGAAGAACAACGGCTTCGAAAGCCGCGGCGCTGGTCGCCCGCGGCGGAGATGGCAGGTGGCGCAGATCGAGGCGGCGGGGCTGAAGGCGGAGGTGGCCAGCATGCCCGCGGACAGCCGGGGGCCCGGCCCCGATAGAACGCCGGCCCACTGAAACTGGCGAGCGGCCGAGGGTTTTCCTCCCCGAATTTTGGGGTTCGACAAGAAGCCCGGGGAAAAACCGACCACTCAAATCATTGCGTTTTTTTCAACACAAAGTGTTCAGATGTGTGCCGGAAACGAGAAGAACTGCTTGCATGTTCAACGAGAGCCAAAGATAATTGTGCAGCATGCCACCCGGATGATGGAATCACGTACCTGATTTGCCGGAGGTTCAAATCTGGAAGCGACATGGATGCAAACGATGGGCCAACAGGCGCTTCTACGAGTCAAAGGTCTTACCTTCACCCTAGACTTCCAAAGGACATTAAATAAATGGCCGAGGTAGCAAAGTACATTTC